TAATTGTTTTTATTATATTTAATATTCCTCAAGTATATATAGTATTACTATAGTAATTCTTTCCATCTCTCATGAATCACGAATTAAATATTAATTATTATACTAGTTCAAGAAAAAAGCGTACCGAAAGTTGATATTATCCGCAGTAAATTCGGATTTTCGTAAAAAATATTATCAACTGCACCCTAATTAATGTTTGATTTTACTAGTATGATGATCACCCTAAGGCATCGTGAATGAAGTTGGTTTCTAGGTAAGTCTTTATTTGTATTTGTATATTTCATTTCAGTATTTACGTTTTCTTGATTTTATTTTGGAGTTATATTTTTCACATGTATGCACGTGTGCGGATCCAATCAAATTATTTGATTTTTTGACGAAATTTGATAATTTTTAAAAACCTCTCAAAGTTGCATGCCTGGTATATTAAGAACATAGCAAATTGCGGACCGGACTTTTAAAAAACATAGTAAATTTTATTTTGCGAGCCGTGCGGGCCAGCAAAAGTACAAATTTTTAGGCCCGTGCAACATAATGATCATCATGTTTATAGAATCAGTTTACACTTAGGGAGGTTGGGTGAACATCCTTAAAACGTCACTTTTTACTTTTATTTATTTTTTTTTTACTTCGGGAACATTAGATTTATGCAAAATAAAATAAGAAATAAGATACAAGCGTGATCAGTGAGAGTTTCTGGATCATAGTTTATTATTAGCCGATTTAACTTTTGAGATAATAACCGACTTGGCTAAGCTTATAAGTTTTTTAATCGACTACAATCACTCTTAGTCTTCTTCTTCACTATCATAAACTGCTAATCCTGTTAGCGCTGAATTGCTTGACTTTTGTTCAGAAGTTGTGTTTGTTGGCTTAATATTTTTTGAATGTAAATTCTGTGAAATGTATTTCAAAGTTTCAAGGGTTTCTGCGGAAACAATTGACGGTTTTTGCTGTATGGGTGAAGAATCTTTAACATTTTCTGCAGGTGCAACTACTGTATTTAAATGTTGTTCATCGCCACTTCCAACAGATTTATCATAAAAAGCGGGCTGTTCCAAACCCACTGGCGTTTGATATCCCTCTAGTCCATATTGATCAGTTATAGAATCAAAGTTCGTTCTAGGTCGTTTGTTTGTATAATCGGTATTGCCTAATGTGAATTCAGCAGGAAGACTTTTTTGTATTGCTTGTGCTGCAATTGCTTCTGCTTTTCTTTTATATTCGGCTTTGGCACGAGGATTTGGATCATCGGTAGCCCATCTACGTAATGATATACATTAAACAAGTTATATAATTTAAAAAATAAATTCAAATGGATAGATGCCATACCGTACATTAAGTACCTTCCTTGGTCAAACATAGTAAAATTAATAATGTGGAATTATATTGCAATAGGCATTGACAATTCTGTAATATGTGATATCTGTGGCAGTTTGTCAATTTTAATACGCACCTCGTTATGATCTAAGCTCTGATTGCTCATTGCCTCTTTAGCAAATTCTGCATTGAGAGAACTCATATACGTTACAAAAGCCACGCCCTTGTCCTTTAATATCTTAACTAAAATTATTGTGCATTTCATTACTTATATGTATTTAAAAAAAAAAAAAAAAAAAAAAAAAAAAAAAACTATAATTTACTTTTTTCAATTTTTCCCCATTCGCCAAAGTGTTTTCTGACTATTTCCTAAATGATGGAGTATTCAAAAGTAAATGAGGAAATATAATTTACGAATTTGTGATATCGTACTATCTTTCTTTCGACTTGCCTCCATATCAGGATTAATGTGGATATACCCAACGTAAAGCGTTCGATTCTCCCTATTAAAAGAACCAACACCACCCATATCATCACGATATTCGTTGAATTTATCGCGTCCAAAAACATCAATTGTTGTGTCTACGGGGTCTGATTCCGTAGGTATTCTGTGCCAGAAACCGCATTCGTGTCTGAAACGGGAAAAAAAAGGTCAAATGCGATGAAATAATAGAATAGCCAACAGGCAATAAATTTAATTACCCAAAAGGACAGCATCCACGCGCAAAATATAGACAGAAGTATGTACTAGGCATTTTATCGCCCTTAGTTTCGCCGGCATCAAGTGCTACATTACAACGTGTTTTTGCTTTCTCTCTGTTCATAAAAGCTTATTAGACAAATATAATTCTTTCACGCTCGGAAAAACTTTATACAGACAGAAAATTCCATAAAAACCTTGAAAATTTTGATGTCCTTTCACCACCTGACCATTTGTTGTACCATATATTATAGAACGTGCCAGGAGTATCGGATGAGACTCTTGTTGGTCCTACTTTTAAAATGGATTCGTCTGCCTAAGGATCAATATAATAAACGTCAATTAAGAATATTTTTTAAAAAAAATTAATCGTCGATTGTTTCTTGTACGTACCTGCTTTCTAGCTGGTCTCATTTTTAGGTTTTAAAAGTTTGTGTAGTCGGGCAACTTAAGCATGATAGAAGTTTGTTTTAATTGGCCAATACAGCAATATGGTCAATGTTTGATCTACATGAATATCTGTTAAATATCGTTAAGTGAAGTCACATGAAGCGAGGACTCTTTAATTTCCATACAGGGCGATACAAAGGTTACATTTTTGATGCATCAATATATGAAATATCAAAAAAGTAATTCAGTACTTTCTGTCCGTCCATCCACGTGATCTATGGTATTTATCCATTTCAGTCTGGGAATATACCAAATTAGGAAATCGCATTCTAGAATGATCTACGAATAGATTCTTGATTTTGATTG